AGCTTCATGTTTTTTGGGCATAGGCTTCATGTCACTTGTTTGTACTTCTGTGATTTTATTGTCTTTTTTTGAAGTTGCACAAGAAATGGACAAATGAAGTGTCCATTTATTTTTCAATGTATCTGTGCCGTTATTCTTTGAGTGATCACAAATATCAAAGCTACAAGGATCATCTCATGCGGTGTCCGTAGGTGTCTATTTTATATTCACCGAAAAAAAAAAAAACGAAAAACTTTTGTGGGCAAAAATACACGCCGAAAAAAAACCGAAAAATAAATTTTAAATGAACACCAAAAAAAGTACGCCGAATTTTGAAAAAAAAAAAAAAAAAAAAAATAGAAACCGAAAACGCGGAACCCTAAATATAGCGTGAAAACATTAACGAAAAAGAAACAAAGTACACACCTTCGAAGTTTTATAAAACTCTAGCAAAGAATTTTTTTCTTTTTTTGCGGCTGTTTCGAATTTTTGTTTTTTTTCACGTGTGCATTTTGGTGCTCAACGTGAGCAAGCGTTTCAATGTTCACAAACTTACAGCCCAGCGTGCAATCTTCACAGCTCAGCTCGCGCGGCTTCGTAACTTCGGGAATTGAGCGAAGCACGTGCCATATACGCATGGACGCTAAAAATGACACCGGTCCGCAGCCTATTTCAGACAACTCTGCGTGGCATTTCAGATGTGAAGAGCGCGCGTGTACTGCTTAGAGCGGCGCGCAAAATGCGGAGCGCCAGTTCGTCTGCTTCTTCTCCAGGGGTTGTAGCAGGGTGTAAGATAGACAGGTGGGGAAACGAGAGCCACATGAGCGACCGGATTGTGTCCCCCTCGGTTTTCTTTTTCTGTGGCGCCATCTATGTGGAGCACCGCGAACTCTCACTCCGGGTGGGCGACCGGTGGCGACCGGCTAAACCGACGGAGACGGTTTTTCGTGGATTTTTAATGGAGGACTCTCGTGCTCTCGGTTTATTTTGCGCACTCCCCCATAGAGTTCCACGCAAATCCTATTCCAATTTTTTTTCCTCTCACCGCAGCGCCATCTGTCGCAAATCGGGGGTACCCGCAAGCAGACGAGTACACAATGCGGTCACGGCGCTGCGGTAGGCTTCTGTGGGCCGTTTCCCCACCTGTCTATCTTACACCCTGGGTTGTAGTGACGTCAGAACGCCGAGCTCTGATTGAAGGATAGTGGGTAGATCTCAGTGCAGCTTGCTTTGAGCTCTACCCCCTATCCGACAATCAGAGGCAATCAAAGCTGGGCGTTCTGACGTCACTGCAACCCCTGCAAAAGAAGCAGACGAACTGGCGCTCCGCGTAGCTTTGGCTTCATAGCCACGGGAAATTGCGTCAAACAAATGGCGCGCGAAGCGCCGCTTCCCTGACACTTAGTGCAACTGAAATTGATTTGCAGGAAAACTGCGAGAATAGGTGGTGTTCACTGAGCCTGCAGGTTCGATTTTGCCAGGGAGCGCCACCGTCGATCCGCCATCTTGGAGGTCGCGGTTTGACCAGTTTAGCTGGCTTAGGTAACTTGGGTACGCGGTCGTCCGTTGGTAGTGTGTTAACTCCATATCGTTGAAAGTAGCTTCGTTGAACAGAAGACAGAAAAAAAGGCTATTTCGAAGGCGGGCCGTTTTAATTTCCTTGTTGCTGCCGCCGAGTACTGAACCGTATGCAAGCGATTTAGCGAGCGACGACGACCTGCACTCTCAAGTAAAAAGGGTGTAAAAGGGTGTATCGTTACACCCTTTTGTCCCATATAATGCACCCCAAAACTTCAATTCAACGTACAGCGCCCTATAGTCGAACAGACGGCCCCAAATGTTACGAGGGGCTTGTTAACGGTGCGATATAACTTTTTAATTAGCAAAAGTACGTATCAAAGACCACAGAAAGAAAACACCGAGTTTTTACCGTAGAGCCAAGAAAACCCCGATTATTTTTTTTTTGTAGTCAGTAAAACGCACATTAGCTATTTTAATAAGTGTCACCACACGGCTATGAAGCCCCTCGTAAAATTTGGGGCCGTCTGTTCGGCTGTAGGGCGCTGTACGTCTACTTGAAGTTTTGGGGTGTATTCTATGGGACAAAGGGTGTAACGATACACCCTTTTTTCTTGACAGTGTGCTTCGCTGTAGCTCGGTCACTCGCGCCACGAGGAAAACCGCATGAAAGCGACATAAGCAAGCGAACAAGGCGATGAGCAACTATTTCTAGAAACCCAACAACTGAGCGACGCGCACCGTGAGAAATCTCGTCGCTGTCACCGTCGCTCGTCTTGTCGCTCGCTAAACCGCTCTCATCGCGTTTGGGCGATGGTGAACTGCGTGGTTGTAGGGCGCTGTAACCACACGCGGAAAAACCATATCGACAAAAACTTCGCGAAAGCGGGCTTTTTCCTCACCCCAAAAGTGGTGATTACCCAGTGTGAGCGAACGGCATCCTTATAACTTCGAAGAGGCACCGCGGCATGGGCGTACCAACCGGGAAGGCAAGGCAATGCACGTGTTTGCCCTGCCCCCCCCCCCCCCCCCCCCCCCCCCCTTCCCCTGAAACAGCCGCTACTGGGCAGAGCAAACATTGGCCGGCGGCGCCCAAGAAATACCAAGGGCACCGCTCCCCGGCCCTGGAAGGGGGCGGGGGGTCTGGTTTGCCCCCCCCCCCCCCCCCACACACACACACACACACTTAAAAGCAAGTCATTGGTACGCCACTGCACCGCTGAAACAGCTGACGACGTCGGAGAAGCGGCCGTCGTGCTGACGACCTGCTGCGCTTGTCGCATGCATGCAGTGGTTGCCGGACTGCGTACGCGCGGTGCAGATCGGTTGTTCCGGTCACAACGGAATCAGTCGCTCTGACCGCTAAGGAAAAATGCGCCGCATTTTTTATTAGCTACGCACTCGGTGAGCCGCGCGGTACGTTTCTGCACAGGAACGAACACCGAAAGCACGAGGCACGACACGGAGGCGATGGAGCTACACGGCCGCAGTGAAGAATATACGCTAGAGGAGAAACAACAAAAAGCTAGGTAAACGAAACAAGGGTAATCACGCAGTGCTACAAAAGCACCAAAGGAGGAAAATTACAGTTCTTGCAAAAGAGCTACCGCCGTGGGCACGGCGCGCGGCACGGAGCGCTGCATGGAGTCGATGGAGCAACGCGGCCGCGGTGGGCAAGTCCGAGAGCGACAAACAAAAACGAACTAAAACACACACAAAAGCACCAAAGTGCTTTTAAAACGCCGCCCCCCCCCCCCCCCCCCCCCCGGGATTTACTCGGCTGCCGCGGTGTGAGAATCGCGCTCCTCCTCGATGATAGGCTTCACAATAAACGTGCTTGCCCAGAGCTTCCTGGCGTGAGAAAATAAAGGCCCTAATACCGCTCGTATATAGCAAAACTAGAATTATTTACGCGTCGCAGACCTAGCCTCGTGCTGCTATTCTGGGTGAAACAAGGAGACGCCAGGCTCTTTAAATCGACCGGAAATCGCGCTACGACCTTGCGCAGCGTTACCTACAGATGGTGCATTTTTTTTTTTTTTTGTAAAATGCACCATCGCGACGGCGAATCCGTCCTTGCGATTGGCCAGCGCCGGCCCTCGCGCCTTCCTCGGGGAAGTGGAGGGGCCCTTCAGTTTGAGTATAGTTTGAGTGAGGTTTCTGAATTCGGCGGTAAGAGCTGCGCTCTAAAAAAAAGAAGGTTCAAACAATCAAAATTAAAATCGCTAGCTAGCAGCAAGCCTCCGCCAGTTTTATGGTGTTCTGCCGTACCCATCATCCATTCTTATTTGGTGCCCATTTGCGCACGCACCCCCTGGCATGCAGGTTGCTAATGCAAGTGTCAACAACCGCATGGGACCGCCTATAAAAAGGCGGTGATATCAGTTTACACATTGAACATTATCAAGGCGAAAGCCTTACTTGTCCCATTGTGCGAAAAAGCGGCGTATATGGCCATAAAATATGATTAAGCGGCACACACCGCTCAATCGTATGCTCAGGGACGACACCGTCTTTGGCGCCGTCCTCTACGCGTCGTTCTCAACGTCATCCTAGAGGCCCTGGAAGTCGTTCTTGACGTCAACCTATAGGCGTCGTTCTCGACATCGTCCTTAAGGTTGTCCTAGACGTCCTTCTCGACATCGTCCTTCAGGTCATCCGAGAAATCCTCCTCGCCGTCGTCCTTGACATCACCCTAGGGGTCGTCCTAGACACCATACTTAGCGTTGATCTCGAAGACGTCGTCCTAAACTTTAATACGTGTATAAACATTACTCGAAAACATTTCGCCCGCGGGACTATAATGCCTTCGCCTTCCAACACGTAAGCAGTCTTAGGTGTCCTCCTATAATTTTTTTCTGCCTCAACTGATTAAATCACTTGTGGTCACGTTCCTAAAGCCAAAAAACAGCACTGTGGAATGCGAGTTTGTCAGTTCTGAGGTCCGTGGTATCGCCTTCTGCGTCACGTATGTTCGTAGCGTGTGCTCACGTGTTTAGTGCTTGTTTTTAATAAATCTTGCTTTTTCACCTGAAAAATGATTGTTTTTGTTTATCTATTCACCATATGTGGACATTTGTTCAAACGTTTACGCACCCTGGCTGTGTGGTCGTAATAATTTGCTTGTTTGCAATATTTCTACCTGGAGTGTAAGGAATTTGGTATGGGGTTTGTTATCATGGAATGTCTATGTCAAAGCATGGTTCTCAAGCTTTCCAATCCCAAGGAGTGCCGATATTTTAATTAGCAACTGAGGAACCCCTCGTGATCTCGTCATTGATGCAATAAAGCACTGAAAAAGTCTAGAGACCTTGTAAAGAAGAATGCACACACTAGGGAATGTTTTCCTTATAGTTATGCATGAAAGGACTGTTCAGATGTTCTAAAATAGTGCTTAAATAGGAAGCCAGGATTTTGGAGCTTGGGGAAATCCAAAGGGTTTTGGGAGACGGTACGTAGGAACCCAGCTTGAGAACCCGCGTGATAAAATCATAGACTGCAAAGGCACTGTGGCGAAAAATGGACAATTTATTTGGATCGTCTCGAAATGTGTAAATGCACGCAAATCATGGCAATCGGTGCCACTGCAGTCGGTCTTTGTCGAACGACAGCCACCTCCAATGGGTTCTAATATGGGTGTAGGAGATTTGTAGGGCTGCACATCAATAGCAGAGAAGGGATTTGCAATAAGACTTTTAACCTAAATTTGGTGGCACTATAACGAGGGAGATGGTCCTGCCAATGAGGTCTTGCCGGCCGCTGTAAAGAGGAACAAAGATTGCACGAAGTCAACAATGTGCAGTTGCTTTCCAAGAATGAAGCCCAACAAAAGAAAGATTAAAAAATTAAGGGAAACTCCGCTCAATTCCGGAAGTTTCGGGATATTGAGTGATTTCACAAAGCACTAATAAAAGATAATATGTCGTTTGCTTCATGAAAACTGGGATATATATTGTTAAATCTTACTTTAAACATGAGCAGTGGTGGAACTTACAAGTGGTGATTTGGAGCAGCTCTTGTAGCAGAGAAAAACGGGTTTTGGAGCAGAGATTACCCCTTTTGGAGCAGACAATTATGAGCTTTCATTTCGGAAAGTTTTATACAATCTCTTTGAAAGTTAGCCTGTAGAGAAGACTGCAGTTGTTGGAGCATTAGGAGACTAAAGTGTGTTATGCCTACAGAAGACCTGGTTTTTACAGATATTTGTTTATTTATTGAACAAGCATATGCCGGCAATTTTGCAGATGTCTCAATTAACCTATTAGGAGTACCAATGGCATCATCAATCTGTGTTTGATATAAAAAAATGTTTTTGGCTACACGGTGACGTAATTGTTGCGAGTTTGACATCAAATGAACACTTTTGTGCTGAATGTGTCTCACACTGCTCTCGCTCGTATTCAATCTGCTGCTGTTTATAGAACAGCCAAGCGGAGCACATAACTACTCTAACCGATCACGAGTAGCACTAGCTATTCATTGCAATCGATGTGAGCCCTGTATGCACAAAAACCAATAACTCTTCATTAGGCATGTGCAAAAAATGAATTTTGGGATCGAAGCAAATTCAAAGTGAATTGTGGTCTTGGACGAATATTTTTGAATTGTATATTTATGTATAAACTGCCCACTCATGGGCTCTGTTAAATTTTAAACTAGCTATGTTTATAGACTAGCCTCAGAACGTCCAGTATCCTTGCTATCCACTGTCCACTGGGATAGCAAGTAAATGACAGATTTGACATAAAATTAAACATATGAAAGATCCCAGCCATACCTAATTGAGGGAATTTACGGATCTTCTTTCTATATGAACATATTTTCTTCAACTGTGAATTAAAAAACAAAACAAAAAAACACAGAAATAATGAAACAGGTTTTTAGAACATTGCTGCCTAACCTATACCCTTGCATAATAGCCACAGTTAAATTTTGAAGATTTTACTGCAATGTAATATCAACAATAACAAAATTTCCTTTTTTTTAATACATCAGGCGCGCGAGTATGCACCATACTAGTTGGGAGATGTGTTTTTCACTCAAGCGCGCGGCTGCGCTGTGGCGAAGCGAGTCGCGAGATCGCTGTGTCTGCTCCACGGGTATTGCTTCCCCGCAGTGTACCTGTACTTGAGGAGAAGCGCACTCAAGGGGGCTAACCCGCCGCGATCAACACTTCGAAAAGCATGAATATCGCAGTCCATTTGGAAGCGAATATTAAATAACATATTTGAAACTACGATTAGAAAATTAGAATATTCGCGCAACCCTATTCTTCGCTCATAGTACTTAGGATAAAAAAAAAAAAAAAAAAAAAAAAAAACTACACTTTCTTAATTTTCAGTGGCATCGCCAACAATGTCACGTGCCAGACACTCTCAGTTTCCTTTTCGGGAACAGCTCCCTTTCGGCGCAGACATGGCGCAAATTATGCACAAATACAGCAGGAGCAGCATGTAGCAGGTTATTCGTTCTGGCATAGTTTGGCGCAATTGGCGCAGCAGTTCCACCACTGCATGAGCAGAAATCGAAATCAAAATTTCGGCTGCGTCTGGCAACATTGGCCTCGGGCTGCCCAAAAACATGGCTGTCACGTAGCACGAGATGTCACATGATTCATGGCCAATATGGTTGGCAGGCCACCGTTGGGGCGGGCATGTGCCAGGCGCAAAAGTTGCCTGCACTGCACTCTTCACCATATTTTGGTGGCTACGACAATGACGACGTTTGCACAGCTACTGCATCAGTCCACATGTAGTGTGAACGAAACTCATAAAGACAATAATCACAAACGGTGAGACGACGACGGTGGTTGTGACGCGGGAGTTGGCGGGACGGCTCCCAAGAAGCGCCCTAAGCAGGCGCATTACGCCAATCCAGTGGACACTGCTGAGCGCCAATAAAACACATTATTGACGTCACTAGCTAAGCTTGCCCGGAGAAGTAAAAACAAACAAAAAGGGGGCAATGGTGATGACGTTTAGCTCAATGTTGGCTACGCCAATGCCCATAGCCTTGATTGCACCGCTGGTTGCGCCTCAATTCACCTGCTAGAGTCAGTTGATTTCAGCAACATGGCGCACTACAAAGTTTGCCAGACCGTTTAAGAAACGTTTAGACAGAACTAGGTGTTTTTCTTTTTTTTCAAAAACAAAAATAAAGCTTTTGAGGATTGCTTTTGAGAATATTTTCTGCACAATATCCGAATTTTTAATCCTTCTCTGCACAAGTATTAAATTTTAAACAGAGCCCAACTGCCCAGATTGCACCCATAAAACACACGGCGTTTCATTGGCAACAGCGGAAGCTCTGACGTTACATCATGCAAAGAGAGTCACGACAGCTTCACTGCTCCCTCAGTAAAACAACCTTGTTCTGATAAAGACAAGATTTGCAATATTGAGGGAAGCTCAGTTCTTCGACTATGATCTTTGTACGCACCATAAGCCATGTTCCCAAGACCAGGAATAAGTCAACGCCTGCGACTTAGACGTTACATTGCCCAATGTGATGTTACGACACGACCAGCCATGCACACTTGCGAAATTTGGCGTGCAATTGCGTATTGATGTTCAGAATTGATTTGACAAATATTGAGGTGCTTTTAATAAAATAAATATCACATCTGCCTATAATTCAGCCCACTCTATGTGACCAGCACAGAAACTTAGTAACTTTCGGATAATCACCAAACAATCCCAGTATGAACTTTGCGACACACGATGGCCATGCAGCTCATCACCCTGGTTGCCATCATCTCAACCGGTAACTTCGGTTTTGCCGTAGACCCCCCCAAACAAAACTCTGAAATAAGATCTCTACAAAACTCCATGAGGCATCCAAAAATAAAATGTACCCCATGATTCAGGAACACTTCCTGCACTAAACACTTCATGCACTATAAACGGTTATACCTACACCTTTTGCCTTAGACCCCTTCTGCGGTACAGTACCGCAGAGAAAAGTAACAAACAGAAAAAGTGTTTCCCACTACAAGCGCTCTCTGGAGCAAGGTTAACAATAAAGGAAGCACTCACTTCTCGATGGCAGGTGGCCGGTAATCCGGAATATGTGACCCTTCTCAGCAAGCCAACGCAAGACAGACGTTATGTTGTGGCAATCATCTGCAACAAAGCATAACAGCAACTCACTTGACCAATCAGAGGGCAGAAGATTTGTATGGTGTGTACTTTACAAGCCTTTGAATAGGCCTAGTATTTCCACTTCATTATACTCATCCCTCAACAAATGTATCTGTTAACTACTCTCCGATACAATGAAATCACGGGTTACGAATTGCTAACGGAAATTCCCGGGCAAAGCAATTGTGAGAAGTTATGAAAGAAAATTCTCACAATTACTTTCTGAAAGCAATTACCAGAAATACCTTCAAGGGAACACATACATTCCTCCATTGGTTAGAGTTTGGGTAACAACAATTGCACACTTTTCAGCAAATTCTTTCTACAGCAAAAAACGAAAAACGGTGAAAGTCTCACATAAATAACATAAATGCCGCTATCAGGGTCTTGGTTCTAAAAATATAATAACTAATACAATAAGCATTCAGAAATCACATGACTGGATAAAGTAGCCAATAAAGTATTCTATTTTGTATGTATACCTTATTTTCTAAGTTTATTTTCCCAGATTTTTATCCGCACAAGTTATACAATGGTGCGACTTATTTGCATTTCCTTATTAGTATGGACCCTGATTGTGCAAAATGTTGGCAGGATCGACATTTACGATGACGGCAGAGCGCCTGCCGATGGCCTGCTCTGTCAGCAGCCTGAAGATGGTCCAAAGGATAGCAGCATAGGCCCACAGCTGCAGTTTTTCCGTGCCAACCATATAAAAAAGTATGGTTGACATACCAACAATTCTGTGACCTAAAATACTTTGGTAATTGCCCAATTTCAGTTACGCCGTCAAGCAAAGAAGTAAGTGACGCCATTAAACACTTTTTGACCTACACATATTGCACCTGTGACAGACAACTTTTCCCTGCTAATGCGTACAAGTCTGCGACGCTGCCCAATTGCAGGTACTATGCTAAAATGAACTTTGCTTTCTTTTTTTTTTTTTAGTTCCCACACCATTTAACTGGCAGAAAACCTTACTAAATTCTGAAGCCTTGTCAAGCTTCAGCATTTTCCCCGGAACTCTGGCGCAAGTGTGCACCTTTTTGTTTCTCTCTCTAAGAATCCACCAGATGCCGAAGAGTTGGTGCTCCCTGTCGGCGACTCGGTTCGAGGACATTTTGGTAGGAAACTCAAGGAAACAAAGAGCGCCATCGGTATCATCGTCATGGAATTACCCGAGACTGCGGTGATGATGGAAAAGCACCAAGAAGTATGGTGCCTGGAACGTGTCTCCAACCGGTGTGTCTACCGTGTCTTAAAAAGAAGTCCCTCGACTTCCTCCTGATGACGTCACAGAAGTGTCATTAGGCCACGACCCTGGCGGCATCGCAGCAGCAGCAGTGGATGGGGCAGATGCCTGTTCTGCTGCAGGCCACTCTCCAGGATGACAGTCCGTGAAAGCTTCGACAGCCAGGGCCTGTGACATCGCGAGGAAAGCGACCCTCACATTTGCTCACACTTTCTGCCACGACTTCTGGCCAGGACCGCGACGCGCAAAAGCGTGACACTTAGGCTACCGCGACGTCGTTTATTGCCACTTCAGAACCACTTTTGATCTCTGTGCGGGATAGGAGGCTAAAAACACACCAGTGGAAGAATCATTCCTGGCGCCATGCTGTTAGGAAGGGGGAGCAGAAAAGCTTCTTTGTACGAACTTCGATCGAAAGACGGGCCACAACGGGACCAAAGGCGACGTTATGGCAGATCGGTCTAGGTCACCATGGCTCAACGAAGGCAACAGGGTCAAGCTTACGCAACTTCGAACCGAAGGACTCTCAAAGCGGGAATTCGGAAAACGGTGGATTCTGAAGAGGTCGTGTAGCACTGAGGCGCGAAGCCCAAGAGCGCGGGGCTAGGGCGCGAGCGGCCAAGGCAGCTTGAGAGCGACGAGACCCACTAGTCAAGTATCCTTGTCGAAAAAAGCGCCTCGTTTATTTTGCACGGCGTTTATGAATACAATGACCTACCAAAGGGGGCGCCGCAATTCGGACACAATTCGGTTGCTACATTGGCGCCCTTTCCATCCCTCCTTCGGGAGCACTTTTCTCACAAAACCAAGAAGCTTAGAGGAAAGCACTACTCCTGTAAGCTATGCACCGTAGCTTTGCCTCAAAATGAAATCCTTGGCAGACCCATTATGGACTACAGCCCAGAAAGGGAAATAATGTGCCTTACACGTTACGTCCAGCAGAGAAAAAAGTATGCACTACAAGTTCAGTCATTTAGGGGTAACCACACGCCCTCCGTAATGGGAGTAGCGTGACTGTGGTGGCCCTGGAGATACTGGAGGTGCTCTAATACTCGTTCGACCAAGGCAACGTATGTTCCATCAGTGAGAAAAAGGAAATACTGAAGAGAGACGGCCGATGTTTCAGGTGCTGCAAAAGATATCACCGGGCAAGAGATTGTTGCAACGCCAGATTTCTCTGCTGCGCCAACTGCCAAGGGAAACACGACTTGCCTCTGCGATCGTGACTTCAAACCCACCAAAGGCAGTCCTCATTCTTCGTCACAGCCCGGCACTTCGGAAGTGTCAGTAACGAGTGCGGTGTCTAACAGCGTCAAAACAGTTCTTCTGCAGACCGACACAATCTGGGCGAAAGGAGAAACTAAGCGCCGCCTATTCCGGTACTTACTGGATGGGGGGATCCAGCGAATGTTTGTGACGACCAGGCTTGTCAACGAGCTGTCTTGTAAGGTTCTAGGAAAAGAGGATTTGAGCATTACAGTCTTCGGCAATACTGCCCTTGGCAGTGCGAGTAAACTCCGGAAGGTAGAGGTATGGCTTCAAAGCCAATACGATCGGAGACGGGTACAAATTGAGGCTCTGGTAGTTCCTGCCATTTGTCATTCTTCTGCGTTCCCAGTAAGTCTTTGCAGGACAGCTCAAACGTGCATGCTGCAGCTTGCCGATCGTTCGTGCTCGGGGTTCAAGATAGACATTAAAATTGATATACTGATCGGAGCAGATAATTACTGGAAGGCTGTCACCGGGTCCATCAAGTGACTTGACGGAGATTTGGCAGCGGTAGAAACAATATTTGGTTGGAAACTCCAAGGTCCAGTACGACCATTACCGAAAGCGCGCTGGCACCAAACAACTGCTATGGAGGTAATGACTTGACATCAAAGCGACCAGCCTTCTCAGCAGCTACGGGAAAAGAATACCCTACTGGTACCTGAGGAGGATGTGCCAGAAGCCAAGCAGTCAAGCACCAAGAGTGAACCGGTGCCTGAGGAAGCAGCCCGGAAAAACAGTGACAATGAATGCGACGAAACGGAGGCCCTGGAATGGGCGCCCTGTACGGTACTGACACCTTGCAATAGCCCCGGCAACAGCAGGGAATCTGCCTTTAAAGATGACAGGGAAGCAGCTGACGCTCAGCTACTATCGGAGCCTGTCGGTTGCCAGCCTGAGCTGAGTGCCAGTGACTCTAAGGAGGACAATGGAATCCCCAAAGGGAACGTCAAAAGCAATGATGCAAAGGGGAATGAAGCGACTCCCACTGGTGTTGTTGAAACATGGGGGAAGATGCTGAAACCGGCCAACCGCATAACCGTTTTCACTGAGATTTAGGAGGGCAAAGTTGTCAGCGTCAACTGCAAGAAATTTTGAAAACGGGACCGACCCGGAGAGTGTACGAGTTCACCTTCGAAGACGTTTGCACCGCAGAAGGAACAGTTGAATGGCTCAGTGAATCGAAAGGTGGGCGAAGATGTTGACGCGGTTGTTGGCGAAGCTCTTCGTGGCCTCGTAGAAAAGACTGGAAGGGTCAAGTGGACTACGAGGTGAAAAAATCTCTACCGAAGCCCTCAGACACCTCTTTGGAACACTCTGCGATAGCAACGGTTACAGCTACCAGGACTTTGGGAGTGACGAAGCGGGGCTCAATTTAAGTGCCCTTTTTGAACAGCCTTTGGTGGAAATGCAACATATTGTAACGAAGAAAATGATAGGAGTCTTCTTTTCTCCGTTTATGAATGATACTGATTTTAACAAACTGTTTATTTAAGAGATAGGATCAAAATCTTTACAACAGATATGGCCAATTCGTCAATAAATGTTGGGGGGAATAATCCTAACCTAAGGAAACTTTCTCTGCCGTCCTCCCTGACCACACACACCCTCAGCGGGGGCCCCGACCACAGCCAAACTCGACAAACAAGGTTCCACACAAAGGCAAGCGAGCCAAACTCTTCCACAGCCGTAAGGGGTACCAAGTTTGCGAGCTAGCGGGTGGACGACTCCACAGCCGAAGGGGGGTCGGACGTGCAGGTTGGCTTCCAGAGGCAGGGAGATGTCCGAGACTTGGTATCCGGGAGCCAAGCGCCTTACGGCCCTTCGGTGGCCGCTTATATTCAGTTCAGCAGCATTCTGGGCTCCTCCAGTCCACCAATCAGAAAGTTTGGGAAGGACCAATCAAGAGGGGTTTTCTTAGAGCCAAAGGCTCGGAGCCTGAAGTAAATACAAACATTCCAAAAACAAGCGCATATCCGAGACAGAGCACATTCCAAACGAAGCTCACAAGAGCAGCCATAAACAACAGAAAGCACATACCTACGTAGACAGAGAAGTTACACATACACAGCTCAAAACCACCTCCGAAGTAGAGAGCCCAAATGCAAACATACACAAGAGAAAACGTTTCCAACGCGGGGTTCTGTAAACTAAGTGTAGCGTTACAGCGTTCACGTTCGCCCCCAGTTGGGGCCCCCCGGCTCCGGTGGAATCCAACAGCCGTCCCGTATAGACGGAAAGAACTCTCAGAGAAGGCAAAAACATAAAGTGAAGCTAGACTAAATACTCGCGCGAGCAACATTTCGCGACAATATTGCAATGCAAAAGCGTCGCCGTGGTAGCTCGGACCACGGGTCGTCATCCGATCACGAGCCCGAAGTTCCACCCAGGATAACCAGGAAGCGGCAAAAATGTTTTACTCTCGTTCCTGAGAAGTGAATGCTCACACAGAGCGAGCGGC